GGGCAGGGGAAGGGGCGGCGACCGGGTTGTGTGTTGGAATCAAATGGCTGATTGTGGGAATTTGGTCGGTCGGGCGTCAGCAATGGTAGTGGCGTTTTTTGGACTTGTTCGTCTTTGGGTGCTGCTCGTGGAGCGAGCGCGTGCTTGGGAGCTGCGTTCAATGTGAGTGGCTCGGCTGCAGGCGAGGTTGAAAGTGACTGCGTTGCGTGCGTGCTCTCGGACCGAGGATGATGAGGAGCAGCATCAGGAGGATTCAGATAAAATCTTCACTCTACGGGAACGGCCGAGGCTGAGCGCCTCATTTTTCTGCATAAAATATACCGGGTATACAACATAAGGAGCACTCCAAGCACGTGGCCCATCGACCGACCGACCGAGCATGCGGTTTCGCATTTACGCAAGCGAGCCGGTCTACGCTTGTGTATGTGTGTAATCTGTGGGCATGACAATGCTCCATTCAATCCTTCAGGCAGGCCAAAATTGCGGGTGCGGCACGGGAGTTGGTGAAACGGGCTGAAGGAATATCCTCATCACAGCTCCCGTCCAGTCCTCGGCGATGACGAAGGTCGACTCAAGTCGGCGACTCCGGCGACCATGCTCTCGCTTTCTGTCTGCACCTCAGATCGCGGCTGAGGAGATGGCATGACAATGCGCTTAGCGAGGCGAACCTCCCCGTCAGCACAAAACCCCGAATAAGTCAAGTCTGGTTGCTATCTATATCGTGCAAACCGCTTCCGCAGCTCTGGGATCCGCCTCATCTGAGCCTCGTCTTACAGTGCAGGACGACGCATCGTACGGCGCCTCAGATGTGGACTCAGCTCCGTAGCCTCGTTTCTTACCCCCGCGATGCGCCGTCTCACCTCACCGCTTCCCGTCCACTTCCCCGGCTGGCACTGAGCCAAACCTGCAAGCTCTTATTTAACCTTTACCCGGGCTCGGGAGCGTGGCTGCGGCGTTGGCGAGAGGCTGCTGGGCTGGGCTGGCGGTAGTATCCCCTCCCCCTTTTTACACCACCCCCTGCCAGTTTGCGCCCCCTCAACGCGCGCGCGTGCGGGAACCGCAGACGGGATGTGTAATAAGCTCGTGGTGGTGGCCCCCGGGAGCCGCAGGGGGGGAGGAGCCGCGCGGGAAGCTGGATTTGGATTCCACGCAGCGGTGGGATGGCGCTTGGTGCTGGCTACCTCCATGCATGTGTCGGGTCCGCCTCAGGGGCGGGTGCGGCACAGCACGTAGGAGTTGCGGGAGTGCTGCAGATTGCCTCCCGACGGCGTGGGAAGCTTTCGTGAGTGAGAGCAGGGTTGGGGAGCAGTACCCCTGAAGTGCTCACGCGAGCAGGAGATGCTCAGCTGTGCAGGCGATGAGGAGTCGTGATGCTACATCGGCACGATGAAGCAAACAGCCGCGGCCGTGGACTCATGGGTTCCCTCTCGCTGGTTCGACTGCAGCCATGATATCTGGCCGCCATCTCGCTGGCGACGCTGGGGTAGGTTTGGCGGTGACAAGCGATCGCCAGGCTCACACACTCCAGCCAAACTGAAAGCCGCTGTTACTCCCCAGGAGCGGATCGTCCGTCATCTGCACGCACACATCCAGGTCAGCTCGCGAATTATGTCCGCATCTCACGCGCCAGCCCATCTGACGACGGACCCCGTGACCGCACTCACCAAAGAGTCCCACTCGCTCATCAGATCCATCGACGGCGTCGCCGACGACGAGGCGTCGTGCACACCGCACCCGCCATGCGCCGCCGCCTCGCCCGGCGCCACCATCGCCTCCAGCAGGGCGAGGCACTCGTCCTCGATCTCCGCCGCCGCCTCCACGAGCCGCATCGGTACATCACACTCTGCGACGGCTTCGTCTCCCGTCGCGAGGTAGCAGTTCACCTGCGCGGCGAGGAGGCTCACCAGCAGGTACCCCTTGATATTCGTCTCGCCCACCTCGATGCACCGCAGGCTCCAGGCCTTGCACTCGCGCAGCGCGGCGAGCAGGTCGCTGCGCACGAGGGTCGGCCCAGGCGCGTCTTCCTGCAGCTGGGCGCGCAGCTCCAGTGCCGCGAGGGTGCCGGCTTGGAAGACGGTCGTGCGGAAGAAGCCTGACCCGTTTGTCACGAACCGCGCCATGTCTTGGCCGCCTGGCGATGGCGCTGCCTGGCTCGTAGAGCGTGTGGCCGCAGTCGTCTCGGAAAGACACGCGGCAGACCAGATCTTGAGAGCAGAATCGATTACCACACGCCGTGAAAAGGCGTACTCGGCGACATCGTGCAGCGAGGGGCCGAAGAATGGCGTGTGTATGGCCGAGAGGTAGCGGAGCAGAAGGATGTCTATGTATCTGCTCTCAAAGCTCACATTCGGCGAGGCATTGTCTAAGTCGTACCCACGTAGTGTGCGGCGTAGGGTCTTGTATACATCCCGGAGCTCGGCGTCGAGCCGTAGAGCCTCAGTGTAGGTGCCCGGCGAGCTCGCGTCGTTGAGAAACTTGAGGACCGCCAGGCGTGCCGCAAAGGTCCTGCGCAGCGCAATCGCCAATGATGTTTGCGTCAGCTCGTCGTCTGGCTGCGCAACAGGCTCCTCGGCCTCGAGCTGCTCGTCGTCCATGTTGGCCGGCGGCCGCGTGTCAAAGTCCACTAGCGATAGCAGAGGAGGGCCGCCCGAGGCCATGCTCGACTGCAGCTCGAGCTCGAGAATCGTGTTCCACAACCGGCGGCGCATCTCCGCGTCAAAGGGTGACACGCCAGGGAGCTTCGCAGGGTCGCGGTGCAGGCCCATGTAAATGGCAGTTCGGAGCAAGGACCCGGCCACCGTCCAGACTAGAGTCTCGCCTACGCCGGTGCTTTCCCGCGCGAGGAGGAGCAGCACGCTGGTCTGTAGGGCTCTGATGCTCAGTTGCGACTTGAGTCCGGGCTCTGATAGCCACGTCTGGGCCTCATAAACCCACTGCATGGCCAACTCCCGTAGGGAGAAAGCCTCATCGTAGGTCGTTGCTCCGATGGCGAGGATGAGTTTGAGCTGGACGATGAACGCCGTGCTGCGCGTCTCACCCGGCGTCCATAGAGCGTCGTAGTCTCGCCTGAAGCTCGGGATGTGTACGACACGGTACACGCGTTCCGAAGTGCGCAAGTAGCAGTCGATGAGCTCGTCAGCCACCTCCTTGGCCGGCAGCTCTGCCGTCGGCGGCCTTGGCCACGCCGGTGTGCGGTGCGCCTTGATCATTCTGGCCAGAGCTTTGCATCTCTGGAGCTTGGACGATATGTCCATTGTGTCTTGCCGCAGGTATAACTCCAGAACCGGTGGAATCTGCAGGACCTAGACTTCGGTTGTCAGCATGACTTGGAGGAAAGCGAGGGCGCGCGTCATGTCGCATGGATGAGTGCGCTCACCATCGAGACGCCGTTGACCCAGTGGCTCTGGCCGAAGACTCGCGTCTTGTGGATGATGTTGCGACTAGACCCGCGAGACTTGTTGGCCACGCGGTCGTCGGCCTCTATGTGGAACGTGCCGCCGATGTGCGTTGATGTCGTCTGGATCGTGCTCTTTGGCCCCTCGACTGGAGGCTGTGGCCTCTGTCTCGCGGCAGACTTGCCGCCTATGCCTGAATCGCACGCCACGGACGACGCGCTTGTTGTCTCATCCACGTCGTTTGTCGGCGCCGAGTTGGCGATGCCTATACTGGAGCTGCCGGCACTCGGGGAGGAGCTCGCCACATGGTTCCGTGGAGCTGGGCGGGGGGTGACATGGCTGCGGCGAGGCAGCGGCGTTTCGGGGTTATTGTAGACACATGACCCAGTCTTGGAGCGGACGCAGTTGCTGCATGGCGTCTCTTTGTTGCAACGTATCTTGCGCTGCCGGCATAGGGTGCATGATCTGCGAGGGCCGTCAGTGTAAGGCGCGTCGAAGGGCGGCGTGGACACTGCATGCAACAGCAGACTGCATGTGTTGGGACTTACACAGCCGGCCGGCGGCGTCGACGCTGCGCTGGTGCATCCATGGCAGGCCAACAATCTGAAACTAGCTCATTGGAATGAGATTGCAATGATGAGCTTTGAGTAGCTCTGAGTTGAGTTGAGGGATCATGAAGGTAGTCGGGAAATTCGTAATCGCTGCGCTTATGGTCGCTCTGGCCCGCCGTTTGCCGACACCGAAAATGCCGATTCGGACTCGGCCGTATCCGCGGGCCTTCGGAGCCGGGTGTGCCGGTTCTGTCACGGTCCCGATGAGAACACAATTGCGGCAAGGTCTCAGTCAGAGATTCCATTAATAGCTGCAAGCTAGGATAAGGGCCTTGCAAACATTCACGTAGTTTCGGCCGTAATGCCTACTCGACCGAACCTTGGTCAAGATCGGAGTCGGCCGCTCTGGGCCGCTTTGGGTAGTTGGAAATGATGCGTCACAACACGTCCACGGTTTTGCTCCCTCCGCTCACAGGGTTCGGCCCCGCGGCTGCAAGGGCAAGGCGCATGATGCTGAATCTGAGTGGTTGAGATGTGCGTTTCCGCACTGCGGCTCGATGACATCTATGCAGGCACGCGATGGCGACAAGTGTTGGGCGAATGATGAGTGAGCAAAGCAGTGAGCAAAGCACCGCCGCTGGCCGTATGCGTCAAAGGCCCCCATGTCATGATTGACTTAAGGGAGAGTTGTGCATCCGGATGCGCATCTTCCGTGTTGAAGTTGAGTGATGGACCCGGTGTAAGTGCTTTGTCCGTCGACGGGCCGCCGGGTCGCTTAGAGAGCCGCCGAAGCTACATACGCGCATCTAAGTCAATGTCGCTCGCTTAGATGTATGCTTTGACATGTCCCCACGTCGCTTAAGCAGCAATGCCATGTGCCAAGGCTCTCCCGCGACCAGACGAACGGTCAAAGTTGCGGACTTTCTCGTTCGGATCCCCGTCTGTCGAACTGAGACAGACCTTTTTATAAACTGCCTCCTCACGCGCACGCTGCCATGTTGTCTTTCAATCATTTTACGGGGAACCGAGACCCACGCGGAGCAAAGACAACTGGCGGTTGAAGATAGGCGGGCGGCTCTATAATTGGCAACCGACTGGAGGATGGCAATATGAACGGCCGCGTGCGCGCCGGGAGAACTCAACCCGAGGGCGATGACAGCAAAAGCGACTCCTCCTCACCGCAGCTGGACATACGAGCAAAAGGAAGACGAGATGCGCGTTTGGTGCTGATCCCAATGGGTGCTTGCGGAGTTGCGGAGCTCGGAGCCGGGCGAGGGGCCGAAAAAGCAACCCTCGCGCTTGGCGGCTCCGAGCATCACAACGTCACAACTCTGTGATGGAGTAGTAAGGGAGATGTTGTAAGTTTCTGCGATTGAGCTTGATCACGGCATCCGAGGTGCTGGGAAAAAGGGGAATTTCGTGTATATAAGCTCGACATCGGCCGCTGCTTCAACTCATCGAACAGCACTCAGCATCTCTCTCAAGACTTCAACAAGCCTGACAAACACTCCCTCCACACCTCTTACACTTACACTTACAACTTCCATCACCGCCATTCCTCAAAATGAAGGTCTTCGCGTCCCTCGCTGTTCTCGCTGCTTTTGTGGCCTCGACCGCCGCCGGCCCCGCTGGTGTCTCCGAGAACATGAACTCTCGCCGGAGGATCACGGCCAAGCTCTCTCTCTGCGAGGAGGCCAACCTCCAGAACTGCGACGACACGTTTGTCCCGATTGACACCTGCTGCAAGTCTTCCTCCTAGGCGTGAGCGATCACACAATCCACTGACCCGTTCCCGCCTGCAGACCGGGTGAACGAGTGCACCGTCCACTCTCTTAACACTGGAGGCCACATCTGCGACTTTTACTCGTAAGTCCGCACCGAGGCAGCCAACGCATGACGAGTATTTGAGCTGACTCTTTTCAGTGAGCGCGGCTGCGGCGGCCACAAGTACCAGCACTGGGGCATTCAGGAGGACCTTCCGGACGGCGTTCTCATCCGCTCCGTCTTCTGCTGGTAGACCTGGACAATGGGCTCAGGATATGCGAAACGATTCCCTTCTCGCCGGTCCTCACACCAAGTTGTTCTGGGCATGGACATTTGGCACTCTCTTTTGACATCAACATCTGTACATTATGAATGAGCAACGGCAACAGTGTACAAGGGCTCAGGTCATCAGAGGTAGAGCTTAGCTTCTATACGACACAATTCTTTCCTTTAACCTGGGCTGAGGGCGGCTTTCGTGTGTTTGCGTAGGATGAGTGTGCGCTGTACCCAAATTGGGTTGTACCGCCGCGCCTGCTACGCCGGCAGTTGAGGTTGACCGCGACCAGACCACCTTCGGTCATGCACGTGATCCTCACTGGTTTTCAGCATCAGGATCTCTCGAATGGCGGCGCTGGGTTAGGCTTGCTAGTACGATCATATGGAAGGCATTGTGGCATTTTGTATCGTGACATTTTGTTGAACAGTTGAGCAAAACCATATTCCTGGTGGTAAGCCGTGACCATGAGGCATCAATCGGTTGTCCGTCGACGCGCCCATCTCACTCGGAAAGGGGCATGCAGGCTCTATGTATCCCTCAGTAATTGAGAGAGAATACGGCATCGTACCAAAGTTGCTGCCAATGGCCAGTTTTGTGCAGACTTAGTCCTGGTGGTCGGACGGATGCCATGCCTTGGGTTCTAAGGGAGCCCTGAGGCTGACTCCAAATGAAATGAACCAACTTCCCACCAATCGTCCGAGGCCGACTACATATGTTCACAACGCCATACAACTCTTGTGAAATGAGGCAATACACTGCATCCATTGAGGGGATGGGAAGACTGGTGGCGATTTTGAACATCAAGCCTTCCGAAGTTTACTAGGGACAATTATTTACACGTATGCTATAGGGTAGGACTCGCCCGATCACATCACTCGAATCGCACGACAAGTTTTGCCTGTAGGGTCTATGCCTTGGACACTTCGTCGGCGATTCCTCTTCCTGCCGCACGCCCTGAAAAGATGCAACCTCCCAAGAACGTTCCCTCCAGGGAGTTGTACCCGTGGACACCTCCGCCGCCAAAGCCAGCCGCCTCGCCCGCGGCATACAGACCCGGGAAGGGCGTGCCGTCCGCGCGCATAACGTTGCTGCTGAGATTCGTCTCGATGCCACCCAGCGACTTGCGCGTCAGCAGGTTCATGCGCACGGCGATGAGCGGCCCGTTGCCCTTGTCGAGGAGGCGATGGGGCTTGGCGACGCGGCTGAGCTTGTCGGGCCAGTACGACCGCGCGTTGTTGATGAGCATGGCCTGAGCATCCTTGGAGTAAGTGTTGTTCATCTGCGCGTCGCGCGCCTCGACCACGTCCCGGATCTGGGCCAGCTCGAGGGCTGGGCCGTTGCGCTCGGCGGCGAGCTTGTTCATGCCCTCGACCAGCTCCTCCAGCGTGTCGCGGACGACAAAGTCTTTGCCGTGCTTCTGGAAATTCTGGACGGGAACGGTGCCCTTGGAGCCGAAGATCCGTGTCAGGAGCAGCCAGATGCTCTTGCCAGTGATGTCGGGGTTCTGCTCGGAGCCGGAGAGGGCGAACTCGCGCGCGATTATGGCCTGGTCGAGGATGAACCACGTGTAGTCGTATCCGGTGCTGCAGATGTACTTGAGCGTGCCGCGCGTGTCAGTGCCCGGGAACAGGAATGGAGGCAGGCGCTTGCCAGTGGCATCGAGCCACAGCGACGAGGGCGCGGGCAGGACTCGAATACCGTGGCCGGGCCAGATGGGATTCCAGTTCTGGAGGCCCTCAGTGTAGTGCCACATGCGGTCGCGATTGATGACGTGCGCGCCCGCCGTCTCCGCGATGCCAATCATGCGGCCGTCAACGTGTGCAGGAACACCGATAACAAAGTGCTCAGGCACCTTCGGGCCCAGCTTATCGACCGGCCAGGCAGCCTTGACGGCCTCCACGTTGCCGCCGATGCCGCCCGACGAGACGAGCACGGCGGCGCCGCGCAGCTCAAAGCGATCGACCTCGACGCGGGACGACTTTACGCCTCGTGCTGAATCGTCCGGCTCGAGGATGCGGCCCCTAACGCCGACGGCGCGGCCCGACGACTCATCGATGATGACCTCGTCCACGACATGCCGCCACTGGAACTGCACGAGGCCCTTCTCAGCCGCCTTCTTGACCGGCTCGGCGAAGACCCGGACGACCTCCGGTCCGGTGCCCCAAGTCAGGTGGAATCTCGGCACCGAGTTGCCATGGCCGGTGGCGGTGCCGTCGCCGCGCTCAGCCCAGCCGACGTTGGCCATGAAGCCCATGCCGCGCGCCTTGACATAGCTCTCCATCTCGTCCGTCGCAAAGTCGACAAAGGCGCGCGCCCAGCGGCGCGGCCAGACATCCTCGTCGTCGCGGTCAAAAGCGGCCGAGCCCTGCCAGTCGCGCCAGGCCTGCTCGCGCGAGTCCTTGATGCCCATGCGCCGCTGCTCGGCCGAGTCGACGCAGAAAATGCCCCCGAGCGACCAAAAGGCCTGCCCGCCCAGGTTGTTCTCGTTCTCCTGATCGACGAAGATGACCGGCACGTTTCTCTCCTGCAGCTCGAACGCGGCGACGAGCCCGGCGAGGCCGGCGCCCACGATGATGACGGGCTCTTTTGATGTCATGGCGATGGCGGCCTGTGCGATCGCTACGCTCGTGAATACTGCTAGGCCTTGGCGCGTGCAAGTCTCCGCCTTGGTTCGACGTCGGTATTGATGCCGGCTCAAAGGCACTGTGGGGGGATGGGGTGAAGGCGCGATCGATGGGTTAGGGGGAGTTGCGCAAGATGCAGAGCCCTGCGTTATAGGAGCCGTTATTAAGAGATGGGCTCATGTGCTACGTTGAAACGCCAAAGCCCGTCGGCCATTTCGCTGCTCAATCCCGCCGTAGTCGTAGTTGCCGTTCTAGGATGGTCATCCTGGCAGGCCCTGTGACAGCGCAGTTGCTGGGGATGCAACTGCAGAGTGCAGGCAGGTCAGGTCAGGTCAGTCTCCACGAGCCGAGGTAAAAGTTAAAAGCCCGACGCGGGGGTTCCTTCTCGTTTAGCATGACAACCTGCGCCATATTGTCCAAGCACTCTCTAAATATGACAGGAAACCGCAACCGGCCATCGTCAACGAAGCATCAAGAGAGGCCTGTCAACGACGTGAGGTGCATCTATCGTGAGATCAGCGCGTAATTCGGCTTGAGACGCATCTTGCCTGTTATCGGCCGAGACTGGCTGGCTCGCAGCTCGTTACTTGGTGCACCACCCCCGGAAACCGCCACTGGCACCGTGACAGCTCCACCAAGCCGATGGCACATGGTTCTCAGTGGGACCACCTGATGGCTTTGCAGGGAGGGAGCGGGGATCAGGCGCCGTCGTCATGGAACCGGTAGAGACTGCCAACTGCAAGGTCCATCGACGGGCAGGCAACGTGTCAACTGTGGCAACGAGCTCCAGGCGGCATGGACCACCCACGGTACCAGCACTGCTGGTGATCGCTACTGGGCCGCACGGGCAGATGGCCCAACAGCAACCACGGCATATCGTACTCGACACCAAGGAGCTGGCGACGACGCTCCAACGTGTTATGCGAAGTTGAACTTGCTCTCACGCGCCACATTGCCGGCTTACCACTCAATCAAAGACACCGCTGTGCAACGCTGGTCCCATCCGATTGGGTCGCCTTCCAGTCAGCGTGAGACACAGAACAATGGGCGAAGGGCAACCCCTGGGACACCGAGAGACAGGTTGATCTCCCGACTCTTGCCTTTCATGTTGGCCACCGTCATTTAAATCTACTCGACCCCGACAGGCTTCTTCCGACTCGAAAATTATCGGCGCTCGGGTCCCTGTCTCGGCGCTCCGGCTTGCCGGTCACGGGCGGCGCCGATTCCGTGATGCATCGGCCTGGCAGAGATCCTTGGGATAAGACATGAGAGGTGACCGATCCGCAGCTTCGGCTCAGAGCCAACGCTGCGTGACCCCATCGCGACCCAAGGCCGGGACGATGCAGCCAAGAGACGAACCAGCGGAAGGGGGACCTGCGCCATGTCATGCCACGCTCGAAGGATTGCCGCGCATTGCCGCCCGCAGCCTGTAATGCCATGTTGGTCGGCCGTACGAGCTGTGTAAGGAGCCTGTGACCGACCGGCGTCGATGCTGCGCAGCTCCCGACGCCGGGCGCCCGAAGATCACCACGACGGCCTCATCGCAGCAGCGGGGGCACATCAACCTCTTGTGTGCAACAGTCGCATCGCACAGTCCCAGAGCGATCTGCCGTCGCAAAATTCCATCCAGGCGGGCAAGACAGTTGACGTCTTGCAGGTCAGGGGGCGGCCACTCCTCTGGCGCTGTTGATCACCGCGCCATGTGGGCGGCATGCGCCGCAGCTCTCTCTGACCAGGGGTCGGCGTTTGGAACCAAAGGAACCGGACCGCGTGGGCCAGGATTTGGCAGCGTGGCGAATGCGTATTTGCTTGTTTGCTTTCTTGTACAAGGCCGATATATTGCCAGCGTCGTGGCTGCGTCGCTGCGCCGGAACACGATGACTTCGGGGCGCTGCGATCCTGTGTCTACGCGTTTCATGTTGTTGAGCGGCACTTGTCATCGGCCCGTACCCGACCAGACTGCCGCCCGCCCACCCGGGAGCCCGGTGCGAGGGATGGCGCCTCTCGCGAGACATGTCCCGTACGCTCCTGTGCGCCCGCCATGCTCAAGGGCCACGACGACCGGGCGAAGTCTGCGCAATCTCGTCAAGTCCGAGCGCTGTGTCAGGGGTGATGAGACCAGCGCAGCATATAAGGCCGGCAGACGCCCTGAGCTCTGGCGAGGTGCAACATCACTTGCGAAAAATATCGGACTCGACTACTCCAGGAGCGGACAGCGGTTGGCCGGTCGTTGCTTCTTCCCACGCCCCCAACGTGCGGATCTTCACGGACCCGCCACTTGCCTGTCAAAGCACTCCACACTCGTTTGGTAACAAGCTGGATGCGGATGTCAGGACTGAGGGGGAACTCTGCAGGCGAACATGTGCGAGGCACGATTGCCCGACCTCTGAGAGTGGCCTCCCGAGGCGCAAGGCTCGTTTCGCCTGATTCGTGAGCCGCGTAATCGACCGATGCTATTCTTTGACCATTGCATGCCCTCTGGTCGCTGAAAGCACAACCATCGCTGACAGGCGTAGCTTGAACGATGATGAGTATATGAAAGGTCCGGTCGAATTTCGGTTCCTGTGTGTTTGCAGTCGCCAGTACGGCCGGGAGGTGTGCTCTCTGCGCTGCATACCGCTTGCGATCCAACTTAAACTGAGAGTTTTGGAGGCCTTGGCCAAAAAGAGCAATTGACAGGCTTGGGTGCCCTGGCTCTCGCTGTGTTTGACCATGGTCTGGCAACCCTTTCTGTTGTTGTGTTTGGCACACGCCATCTGGGCCCAGCCTGTGACCCAGCAGCTGGTGGAAGATAAAGATGTGAACGCGATCAACATGACTGAGCGGGAGCAGAAACAGCTTCAGTGCTGGATTCACAATGCGTCGATTCTTGGTAAAAGGGTATTCTGCCGCAGCCAATTGCTTCAAGAGAAGTCTATTGCTGACTGCCGATAGTGCATCCCCGATACACAGAGATGCCACTACCAAACGATGCATGTTGTCGAACAAGCAGGCGTCCTTGATTACGACCTCTCGCACGTGCAGTCACGACGATGCACCACAGGGTGTGTAAGTTGTTTCTCAATCTCAAGCCGTGGACAATGCAAATGCTGAGTGTCTAGTGTGGCATGTCGGAGGGCCTGGGACGGGCTCCGGGATGTAGCGTTACAATTGACGTTACGGGAGGGCCACCGGTCATAGATTGCTGGTAAAATGTACGTGTAACGAGGACTTGGGGACGGGAAATGCATCAGGTGGGTGGAAGAGGCCAGGTTCACGCTACCTTTCGTTGGTCGTTCAAATCTTTATCACGCCATGGTTGCGGACGTTGCTTGTTCGATTGCTGCGTGCAATGTACTGGCGAGAGGGGCCTCACGGTGGCCGGGCCCTAGGTCAAGCAAAGACGACTGCCCTTTGATCCAGATGCTGCCAACCAGTTCCCGAGTACTGAAGCTTGATGGGGACGGGGCGTGACGCTAATGCCAATGCCACGACACTAGGGAGAGGAGCAGCCAGACCTTGTCCTTGCTTGTGTCGACGAAGCTCCAGCCGTCACCCACTCTCAGGCACACAGGGGCAGCGGCATCTGTTGCCACAACCACGGTTTCCCAGCCCCAAGCCTTCCCCTCCCAGCCATTAGCCCACCTTCTCACTCCCGAAGCCGTTCCGCCGTCAACTACTGCAAGCGCCAAAAGGCTTGGGATTTTGACACCCCAACTCTAAGTGTGCTCGGACCTCGGGGGACGGTCGCTAGGCTAGTTGATTGGTTCTCTGGTACTACAACCACCAACGGCACTGATCGACACCCGAGACGAAAAGCAAGAAATGAAAAGAAAGAGCCGCCGTGAAACGTGCAATCTCTGGGTCCCCTCTCTCTCTAGTACCATGCGCAGTCGTTGTTGGCAGCCAGCTGGTCAAGGTGGATAAAAGACCCTCGTGTTCCCTCGCTCACAATGGCCCTGGCCTGCGAAAGAAAAGGTGGAATGAAGCCAAGGCATTGACAGCTTGTCACCGTCAACATGGACGCGGCGCCCGTCTCCTTGTACACGCTCCCTACCAGTCCGGCCGCTTGGGACCGGATTGGCATCTTCTTCATCTGCTATGCCTGCATATGGACGACGCTCGTCTTCTCGGGCATGGCCTTTTGCTGGTTCAACCGCCACCATCCTGTTCTCAAGATTCGCGGTCTGCCGCTGTCGTTCACTGCCATTACATTCCTTCATGCGTACTGGATTCTTGCGCAGATCACATATCCCATTGGCAGGACGATCCCAACTATTCTCGCGTACGACATCCAGTACTTCTTCATGGGCATATGGTTCCCGCTGGGGATTGCCCTCTTCCATGCTTCCAACACACGTTTCCTTCACATCGCCAAGCTGCAGAAGCAGTTCACGCACCCTGAGCTCAGGTTTCGAGCGGGTTGCGATGGCGCCAAGTCGTCATGGCTTTGCCGTCTGAGAAATATGCGCTACACGAGGAGGGTCATGATACTCATCGGCTTCGGCATGGTCTTACAGGTATGCTTGGGAGTAGCTTTAGCTCTGAAGTACCAAACTGACATGGACGATGATAGGTTCTCCTCACCGTCGGCATGTGGCTGGCTTGCAAAAAGTACCACCCTACGTATGGCATTCCAGGCACCGAGCTGAAAGGCGCCACGATCCCTGAGCAACTCGAAGACCTCGGCCGTGGGTGGGAGTGGTGGCCTTCGGTCCTGTGGCAGGTCATCTGGACGTGGATCGTACGTACCTCGAGAAAATGTCGATCTTGATCACAACTGACGCCTACAGGTGGCACCTATCCTTATCTGGAGGGCATGGAATATTCGTGACACCATGGGATGGCGGACGCAAACTATCGGCTGCTGCCTCTCAAAGTATGCCACCGCATCGTTCTCATTCACTTCAGCATTACTGACAATGATAGCCTTCATGCGACGCCCATGTTCCTCATCGCATCCTACGTGCCTGCATTCAGAAAGGTCAACCCATATTTTACGCCCAGCCAATGGTGAGTCTGACAAAAGTCCTTCGCCGCGAGCGGCTACTGACAAGACAGGATTCACCTGTCAATCTTCATGTTTGAGATCTTCACCGTCTTTGTACCGGTCTTCCAAGTCATCCGACTCCGTATCCTCAGTAAAAAAGCCAAGGACACAAACAGCAGATGGGAAACCGGATCGCAGACCACCACCCTGCGCTCTTCCACCTCAGCAGAGTGGCAGAAGACGTCATCCGTCAGCCTGGTTGAAAAGGGCCAGTCCCTTGACTATCTCGACGAGAAGCTGGGGGATCGCTTGCTGACCATGGCCGCGCTGGACCACGTCCTGGGCGAGAACCCGGGACCCCTGCAGGAGTTCTCCGCGTTGTGCGACTTTTCCGGAGAAAACATTGCCTTCCTGACGACGCTGGCCGTTTGGCAAGCATCTCACACAAACGCCTTTGATCAAGAAAGCCGGCTCGAGTCATACAACCGAGCACTGGAAATTTATATCGACTTTGTCAGCCCTCGGGACGCCGAGTTTCCCCTCAACCTGTCCTCTGCAGACCTAAAGCCCCTTCAAGATGTTTTTGAGAAGGCGGCGAGAATTGTCTGTGGCGAAGGACGAAACGACTCGGCGACGCCTTTTGATATGGACCCAGCGCCTACAAGCAGGGCGCTCAGCAGCCTGGTGAGCTACACAGGCGAGGTCCCCCAAGGATTTCACGTCGGCATATTCGACGCCGTTCAGTGCCACGTAAAGTACCTTGTCTTTACAAACACGTGGCCCAAGTTCGTGGAGGAGATGCAGCAGCAGCGCAGGAGGTCCAGTGACACGGGAAACAGCGACTTCACTACGTCGTCTGAGAAGACACTGGCGAGCAGGGTTTCGAGTCAGCTGTCAAGCCTTTTCCGCTCCCTCTGGTAATAATACACATATACTGGGTTTAGAGGGCCTTGTCCTGGTAACGGGCTACGCTTCTGTCGGTTCGGAAGAGCATGGATCATCCGACAAGGCACTCGGCCGAGTGCGTCAAGTCAACACGTCGAGCTACAACTGAACGCACTTCATGTTACCACTGTACAGTACCCACGGTTGACGACACAAGGTTCATAAAATCTTGAGATGAGCGATACCGCCATCACCTACCTGTATTGGCGTTGCCGAGTCTTCCATGTTGTGTTTGAGGGAGCTGCTGCGCGCCGGAACCGGCCCCTGCCTTGCCAGATGTATCATGACCCAGCGCCACACAACGTCACTGAGCTGGCATCAGTCCAGGTACCTTTGCCACACACTGTTTATACGCAGCCTTCTCGATCGGGTAATTCAGCATGTAGATCAAGGGTCCAGCTGTTCGTCCGGTGGGCTCGCCACATCACGCGACAGCGGACACTCTGGCAGGCGCCGTCACCCATCGCCACATGGTGTGGCTGACGGGACTGGGAGAAAGCAGTCAATCACATCCCGAAGCGTCCGCGACCTCGAACGTTTCTCCTCGAGCCGTCGCCGGACTCATCGAGAGCCGTACTTGGGCGTGTGGAGCTTCCGCCGACTGGCCTGAAGCTGTCGCTCGAACCAGGAGACACCGTCTGGCACGCACGGTAAACTCTACGCAAATACTCGTGCCGTTTACAGTCCGCAGACTGTCCGTGGCGAGCAAGATGGATGATCCCGTGCTGTCGGGCGGGGTACTCGAGCTTCTTATTCGATGGTGTTGCTCGGTGGCTGAGGAATGACGCGGGCAAGACATCATCCCACAGCTTCCGAACCTGATGACGGGGCCGGCCACTGTGAATGAGCCAGCTGAGCTATAAAGAGGATGTCGCGTGCGCTCGGTGCCGATGCCATCACGTTGTCCTAGAAAAAGCCAGAACACCGCAACAAGTTTACAAATTACACTGTCCAGATACCAACCATGAGCGGAATCACCGACGAGGCGGCCATCGAGGGCCACGATCTCATCCACAACGCCGAGGTGGAGGAAGAGAGGGCATGCTGGACCCCCGTGTCAATTGAGATCAGGCGCTGACACCGACGCTGCAGCTGCACGAGCACGAGAACGAACAGGCCAAGACCCAGAAGCCGTCAGGGGAGCTCGGCGACCAACCCAAGAAGGAGACTCACCCGCATCGCAAGGAGTCGACCTTTGACAAGGTCAAGGAAGCTCTTCACCTAAAGAAATAATGGTGCGACGAAAACACGTGGGTCTGCGTCGTGGTTTGGGAACGGCATTCAGGCTCACAGATTGAACACTTACTGCAGCCTGCGAAGGGTAATAATTTTAATTTCGGGCGCTTATGGAATATGGCTCGTAGCTGAGAAATGCTATCTTGTCCATGCTTGTCCTCATCAACATGCGATCGGCTCGACGCAGGGTTGGCACTTCGCAGTACCCTCACTTGTAGCAATTGCTTTGGATCATCCTGACGTGCAAAGGGCACGAGGGCAGGGAGGGCACTCCCAACACCGCCAAATACCATGCTCAGTGCGCAGCAAAGACAGACAATAGATTCGTAGCAGGTCCCGGTGCGTGTTACACGTGAATTTCCTGCTGCATGTAAGACAGTTCAAGATACTCGATATTGCCGTTTGTGGAAGGTCGACATTGACTTTGGCGTGAATACAGACGGGTGTGCAGGGAACAGGCCTCCAGAGATTGTTGTGGTAGTGCATTACTACGGACGCCAATAGGAGGCAGTGATGCCGACGGCCGCTGACCAGCTCCAGGAGCTGTGACCAACACTGAACTGAACAGACAGGGAATACCCTCTATTGCCCTTTATTGCAAAGATATTGCACCCGTAGAGAAGCGTGAGCCATTGCAAAGAGATGTAGCGATTGTGAATCCGGTTACAATCGCAAGACCAATGCTTGTGCTTACCTCGTGTCTACATGTACGTTTGATCGCTGAAGCTCGTTTGCCCAAGTGCCGCAGCATTGCCGCCGATAGCTTCAACAGCTCCCCACCACACTGACTGCACGAAACGTAACACAGAATGGCACAAAAAGAGATGGTTCGCGGTATCGAAAAGCTACTTGCAGAGATCGCCATTGGATGTAACCCTTCGTGGGCGTTGGGTACAGCCAACAGACCAACAACGGTGAGTGAAACGGTCGCCGGTTTCAATCTTCAAGTCTCGGCCGTTCGTTATTAGACTTCCTACCTGCATGGAAGCAGTGCGGAGTATGCCGACGACCGGCCTTGCGTTCATCTTGCGCGGGGTTTCCAAGGCTCGATGTTGAGAGGCGTCCATCGCAGACGGCATATAAGACGCGACGCTATCCAAGGTTCCATGTGAAATTGCTGCAATAGTTCAGTCACTGCAGCTCTTCTTACATGTTCCTACTCCAGCCATCCATGGAGCATCACTATGGCTGCCAACGAGAAGCCCCAGTTTATGCACGACGGCTCTCCCGCAGTTGAGATAAAGGGAGCTTGGCCCGACAATGAGAACACCGAATCAATTGCCAACGGCGAGGCGCGCTATAATATCGTCGACAAGATACGATGCATGTATTACGAGCACCTCCACGACTACAACTTCCCTGGTGACATTCTTCAGAGAGCCGCCAACCTGATCAAGCAGAATAGAAGCGATGTTGACATGGAGGTCGCTCAGGCCCTCGCGTCTGACTTTCACGAGCAGAAAGAGCACATACTCAAAAACTCTCCTTACCCAGAAGTTCGGGCGGTGGTCGATCCGACGGATGACCCATCGATGCCGGTGAATACGTTCCGTGCGTGGTTCCTAGGCAGCGTGTTCGCTATCCTCGGCACCGGTATCGATCAATTCTTCTCACTGCGGTATCCCACCATATTCATCGTGTCGTACGTGGCCCAGCTGCTATCGTATCCGTGCGGCGTCTTCATGGCCAGGGTGCTGCCTACTGGAGTCATCCCCCTCGGACCGCTCTCCTTCTCCCTCAACCCCGGCCCGTTCAACCAAAAGGAACACATGGTCATCACCATCATGTCGAATGTCGCGTACGGAGGCTATAATGGCACTGCGTACGTCACGTATATAATACAAGTGCTCAAGCTCGACATGTTCTTCGGCAACAGAAAGCTCGCCGACAGCGCGGGGTGGCAGATCCTCATGGCCCTCTCGACCCAACTCATTGGCTACGGCGCTGCAGGCGTTAGTCGAAGGGTTCTGGTATATCCGGCCGAGATGATCTGGCCCCGATGCCTGGCGCAGATTGCGCTCAACAAGGCTCTGCATCATGACGATGGCTCGAGGGAGCTGTCGTCTGGATGGACGCTTTCGCGAAACCGCTTCTTCCTGTACGCCTTTGTCGGCATGTTTCTCTACTTCTGGGTGCCAAATTACCTCTTCAACGCTATGTCCATCTTCAACTGGATGACATGGATTAAGCCAGATAGTGCCACACTGGCTATCGTAACCGGCTCGATCTGCGGCATGGGCCTCAACCCAATTCCTACCTTTGACTGGAACTGGGCGACGTCTCTTCTGGACCCCATCGTCACGCCCTTCTTCTCCACCGCCAATGTCTTTGCAGGAGCATTTATCGCCGTGATTCTGGCCATCATTCCAGTTTACTGGTCGAACGCGTTCAACTCGGCCTACGTGCCCATCAACAGCAACTACGTCTTCGACAATTTCGGCCTGCCGTACAACATTTCGCGGGTCCTGAACCCAGACTTTACGCTGGATGAGACCGCGTACCAAGAGTATAGCGTGCCGTATCTGTCTGCGGCATCGTCGGTGACGTATGCGTGCAACTTTGCGCTTTACCTGGCGGCCCTAGTCCACGTCGGGCTCTATCACCATGTCGAGCTCACGCGTGCGCTCAAGAACCTCTTTCGCTCCCGCGTTCCTGTTCGAGAGGCGGATAAGGATATACACACCAGACTCATGACGAGCTACAAGGAGACGCCACATTGGTGGTACATGGTCGTCCTGGCCATCTCCTTCACGATGGCCTGCTGCGCATGCACGCTCTGGGACACGTCGATGCCCGTTTGGGGTATAGTATTTGCGCTGGTGCTGTGCTTTTGCCTTCAGGTGCCCATAGGCATTATATTGGCTATGACCAATGTCGAGGTGACACTCAACGTGATTGCCGAGTTCATTGGGGGCTTTGTTCTCAGCGGCAAGCCCATCGCCAACATGATGTTCAAGGCGTTTGGGTACATCACATGCGCGCAGAGCATCCAGTTCACCGCTGGCCTAAAGATGGCGCATTATTGCAAGATACCACCACGATTGACGTTCGCGATCCAAATCTGGGCGACGATACTGGCAGCGTTTGTGTCGATTGGCGTGAATCAGTGGCAGCTGACGCACATTGACAACGTCTGCGCCATTGACCAGCCAGACAGGTTTTCGTGTCCCGGTGAGTCCATCCCCTCTGCCTGCCTGACACGGTTAAGCCGAGCTTGTTTCGTCTGCTTCAAAGGAGCTATCCATGGTGCTAACTCGCACAATACCATTAAAGGAACACACTCCTACTTCACAGCTACGGTCATTATGGGCGCCATCGGCCCCAAGCGAATATTCGGCTGGGGCCAGATCTACAACTCTCTCACCTGGGGATTCCTCGTTGGAGCAATATTGCCTGTTCCCGTATTCTTCCTGCAGCGATGGTTCCCAAACAGCTGGGTGCGGTACGTCCACGTGCCTGTGCTCTTCTTCGGCCCGCTCAGCCTCTCGCCGTACAACCTCACGCATCTATGGCCGGCGTTCTGTCTATCCTGGTTCTTCAACCTGTACATTCGCAAGCGCATGCTCGGGTGGTGGGCACGGTACGCGTATGTCCTGACCAGCGCCTTTGCCTCGGCAGTCGCCGTGTCCGGCATCGTCATGTTCTTCGCGGTGCAGTTCAAATCGTCGGCCAAGCTGGACTGGTGGGGAAACCGCGTGTCGTTTGCAGGCGTCGATGGGGGCGGCAATAACGTGGCTTGTGTGCTCAAGCAGGTACCCGAGGTAGGGTTCTAATCACTGGCAAAGTCACTGCATGCGAACACGCAGAGCAAGATAAGAAATGTCTTCATCTTCTTCCCGTATGCTCGGGTATCGAATGACTAGCAATATTCCATAACGCCATTTGTATGTATGTTCCAGGGTCATGTAAGCATGAATCCGCCGGCTATGCATCTATCCATGCATTGTCTGGTTGTGCTCAAAATGCACCATGCTCAGGGGGCCGCTCTACTTGAGGTATGACACGCTATAGATCTCGAACCACTCCTTCCGGCTAGTCCACTGAAGGGGAGTGGCTGACGACGCAAGGAGTGTTTGCAGCGTGGAGCCGCTTGACTGCTCGACGCTCACGTACTGATCCTTGTCGCCGACCTGAAGCGTGTACATGGCGCCGTTGGGGTTGTAGTTTACGGTAAAGGTCTGCGCTCGCGACTCGTCGCTCGTCAGGGTGCCGAGGTAGCGGGTGCCGCCGGAAATGTACTTCTTGTCCCAGGCAGACTGGATGGTGAACTGGTCGCTGGTCCCGCGGACTGCGTGGAGGATCCACCGCTGGCGGATGTCATTGTGGTGTTTGGTGGCCATGGTGACACCGGCGTAACGGTCTCGAATCGCCGTCAGCGCGTAGCCCCGGCTCTCAAACGTCAGGTAGCGGCCCTCGGTAAGCTTGCCGCGGACGCGCTTGAACCCCTCCTCGACCAGGGTGGTCATGTTCTGGTTGGCATTGGATGAACCGTAGGGAATATCCGGTCGTGGGGTCCTGTGGTTCTGGAGGCACTTGGCCGGGCCGACCCATGGACCTGTAAGGGAGCCAAGGGTGAGGTTCCCGCTGTAGTGGGTGCCATCGTCGGGCAGGCTTTCCGGAGTGGGCGGCTGTGTGATATCGGGGCACGATGTATCAGACTGCAACACCAGGTCAGCCAACTTTAAGTTGCACATTGCAGAAGATCGACATACGTGGGTAAAGTCGAAGGCGTTGACCAGGTTGGACATGTGGTCCCTGCGCCACTGGGTGAGCTCCTTGCTGTAGACACCCTTGTAGCCTTGCGCCGCGGCCCACTGCTCGACAAACATGATGTCGGACGTGTGGTCGGCACGCTCGGTGAAGACATTGCCGCCGCGAGTCCAGGGCGACACAATGGTTCGAGGCGTGCGCCAGCCTGTCATTCCGTCCGTCAGTCATTGTCCCGAAAGAGTCGCCGGGAGACTCCTTTCGGCGTCTAGATCGATCTTACCCGGGCCAACAGGCACAATGCCGTACTGGTTGTACGGGTCCATCATCCACTCGCCGGCCGCATCCCTGTCGGGCGCTTGGGGCACGACGTGGTCTGCCCACCCTCCCTGCTCTGTCGGCGGTATTAGAGCGATGTGACGATGCAGGTCGCGCGGCCGAGAAGCCAGCGACAATGTGGACGGAAGGGAGTCAACTTACCGTCGTAGCTGATGATGAGAACCGTCTCGTGGTACTTGGGGCTGCTGGTGATGGCATCAACGACCTTCTTCTGCAGCCAGGCGCCGTCGACGGGTTGGTTGGGCGCATGCTCGGCGAGTTCCTGGGGGCCCACGATCCAGCTGACCTGGGGCAACGTGCCATCGGCGGCGGCCTTGTAGAAGGCATCGAGGCCCGGGTACGAGTTACCTTTGGTGCGCAGGGCGGAGCCGTTCTTGGCGAGCTGGTACTGCTCGAAGTACGCGAGCATGTTGTCCTCGAAGTTGTCAAGGTCCTGCCAGACCTGCCACGAGATGCCGGCGTCTTCGAGGTACTCGGGGAACGTCTTCCAGACGAAGGGGAAGCAGTTGAGGCGCGGGGCCTCGCAGCCTGTGGCCATGGCTTGTAAGTAACGGAACAACAACGCATGAATGCTTGAGATAGCATCAAGAGCCAAGCGTCCATTGCGACTTACCGGGCGTGGCCGAGTTGTCAATGATGATGCCGCCAGAGCCGTCTGGGTTCGAGGGCGAGCCGGGAATGTTGATGGAGCCGCTCATCCACATGATGCGGTTCGGATCCGTGGCCGCGAGGACGCTCTGCGTGGCCATGTCGGCGAGGGTCCAGCCCTCGGCGATGTCCCACTGCGTCGGGACGTCCTCGCGCTTGAAGTAGCCCAAGCTCCAGGCGCCGTCGGCGCGGACCCAGTTGTTGCCGAGGCCGCTGTTGTAGGCCGAGTGCATGGCTCCCCAGCCGTTGTCGCCGGCGGCCATGCACTGCGTGGCCTGCTTCCACTCGCCGCCCAGGTAGTTGATGTGCCACGGCTTCAGGATGTCGACGCCATTCTTGGCCTCGGGGATGGGCCTGCAAGTGAGCGCAAAGCGTGAGCCAGGTGCTGCGAACATGGAAAGAAGACTGGCTGATGGGCCCAGTCGTGGTCTCACTCACTGCTCGAAGACGGTGCGGCCATCGTTGTTGACCTGGACATTGGGGTCACCGAACCCTCGCACGCCGGCCATGGTGCCAAAGTACTGCGAGAAGAGGTCAGTCTTGACTGCTGATCTGTTGCACGGGCGACGCTTGGGGACGGACATGGTCAAAGGCGCGGTTCTCTTGCATGAACAGGACGATATGCTTAATGTCCTTGAGCGAGCCGGCGGCGGCGGCCAGAGGCGCGAGGGCCGCCGTAGCCCAAGCGAGGCGGTTCGACCGCATCCTGACTGCTGGCTGCTGGCGAGTTGCGCGATGATGTGAAAGCCGCGTCTCGGAGTTTCAAGTCGGTCAAGTCGTGGCGGCGGCGGGTGCCAAAGATCCACGAGGTGACGAAGGGGGGGAAGTCGTGTCGATCAATCAGGCATCTCGCATTTCACATCTCTCGCTCTCTCTCTTCAGGACGAACCGCTGCCGGGATATATAAACGGGCCAAGACTGAAGCCAAGACTGGATTTGGGGGACCGGGGGGGAGAAGCAGGGGAATGATCAATTCTTTCTGGCGCACCGACCTGGTGTTGGGTGTGTGCACCGGCAGCAGCAAAGGTTATTCACGCGCGCGCGCCCGGCGATGTGAGGAGGGTTGCAGCAGCCTTGCATATTATACACCAGCACTAACAAGCTGCAGAGATGCCACGAGGGGAGCCTCCGAGGCGGGCATTGGGTGGCGGCGGCACAAGCGCGTGCAAGCGTGTGGCCGCGTGCCTCCGCGACAGGGTCCGTCCGTCGACTGACTTTGGGCGGTTCTGGACTGGATGGAGGTTAGCTAACTTGTTGCACCCCTTCTTTCTGGGCAGTCAGGCAGTCTGTTGACTCGCGAGAGGAAGGGGGAAAACCGGGGCTGAGCTCATGCGAGTTACGCGCAGATCCAGATCCAGGGAGGAAGGCCGGCGGCACGACTCAAGCCGTGGCGTGCTGGGGCTTGCGTCCTGAGTCCGTCCTTACAATCTGGGGCCGCTCCCTCCACTCCGTCCAGCCCCAGTCCCTTCCTGCGCCGCAGAATGCCCCTCCGTCTTCTCGTCCCGCCAGCCGGCTGGCCGGCCGCTAGTGACGTAGGTACGTATGCACGTACGTACACAAGCTTGACACGCAAGTCGGCGGTGTGTTCGTCTGTCTTCGCGTGCGCGCGCGAGATCGGATCAAACGGCAGGCTGCGGGCGGCAGATCCGTCCCTTGCTCGCTCGCTCGTTCGCTCGCCCCTGATCGAATGGGCCCCCGTGTCGAAGCCAACGTGCCGCGCTGCCTCGCGGGCATAGGTCAGCAACGTTGCAGAGATACTGGATTACTACTACACGGCCGCCTACAGGCCCGCATCGTGGGACGAATATGCGGCCGTACAGGAATCAACGCGGAGCCGACGCCGTGCCCCGGGCCGGCCAACACGATGATTGCTCCAACGGTCGTCGTGACGCCGCGCCGGTTCCGTCACGCTCGTCACATGCAGGCCGATGGGGTTGCGCCGGCAGGGTGCAAGGGAGGGGAGGAGGGTTCATGTCGACCAGGGGCAAGGGCCGACTCACACGACACACCCCGTCGGGCAGCACAGGTGATGATGAGATGGGCTTGGCAGCAGCAGATGCTGTCTTCCGTACGTATCAAGATTTTTTTTTCCAGTACAGTACAGACTGCTGTGCGCAGGGACAACATTTGCTGGTGGCATCGCGACGAGATGTGGCGCACTGCCTACTTGGCGCCCAAGACTGAGACACGAACACCGAGTGAGTCGCGGCGGGAGATCTAGACACAAGTGACGGGCATGAAGTGAGATTGCCCCTGGCCCTGGCCCTCGAGGTACCCCTCACAGACGCCTACATAAAATGAGAAGTTTAAAGCGATGGGTAAAAGGCCAACATCTGCAGCGACGAGTGGACTGACTAACAGCGAAAAGTCGCGCACGTCGGGTTCTCGCCGCCTGCCGACGTCGTCTTCACTTGATGCTCGTTGGATGGACAGCATCGGTTCCGGAGCAGTTCGTCCAAACCACCGCTTTATCCTGCCACCTGCCCTTCACAGGCGTGCCAATGACCGGGCATCGCCAAGGCCCGTGGGGTCTACGGCAGGGTCTCAAGGCATAACTGCCGATTCGATGTTAGGAGGTGTTGTTAGTAGGAGCCCACAGACCGCCGCACCGGAACCTCAGAGGGCAATCTGGAAAGAGGGCATCAGTCAGGAAGGGATGGAGGGGCAAGCGCCGGCCAAGAAGGGCCCTGCGCCAGGCCCCGAGACCCCCCCACACGCGCCGCCACGAGGGGCCATTCGAGCAGGCCCGAGGTGGCGGCAGAAGGGACGAGGTGTTGAAGCGGCCGACGTTTCCCCCTCCAAGGCCCGGGACGGGGGGGTCATCGGGTCGCTGGCGCACGTCACAGGGCCGACGCCTCCCGTGATGGGTCTTGGGTCGGGCAGCGCCCACAATGCAACCAGAGGCGGTCGTCTGGCGTCCCTAGCTCCTGTTGACGGTTGAAATGGCTCCTTAGCTCTACGTGAATGTGTGAGTGCGTGACGCCTTTGTTGCCCTGGCCTCGTCCCGTCTTCTCGACGTTTCCCAAGAAAAGCCCCCTTTGCAACAAAGGGAACCACGGCGCCTGATTGATGACCGGCCTGCACCCTGCACGAACCACCGGCGCATGCGTCCTTGTTGGAACCCTTGGAAGGTCGGCCCGCAGCCAGCAGCAGCGCCCGGCGACTTGGGATTTGGGGGCTTCGAGAGAGAGTTCGCGAATGCACCACCACGACGCCAGACGCATGTCGGCTTGACGCCCGCCCGCCCGCCGAGCTACCCGCCATCAATTCTCTGATCTCGTCGTCATACACCCCCCGTTCCCGCCGCTCCATCATTCCGGGCTCGCCCCAGGCACGCACGCACGCACGCCTCCCTCGAAGGTTCGACGGACAACCTGCCCGTCTGTTACCCATTCCAGGTCGGCAAGGCCTAGACCCGCGGCGCCCGTGAGACAAGTCGCGTGTGTGCACCGAGACGGCTTTTCTTCGCTGCGCCGACTCTTGCTTGAGTCTTTAGTTACTGAGCGCCCGCCCGCAGTTGCGAGTGCTGTTTGATGGCGGAGGAGGAGCAGCAGCAGGAGGAGGAGCCGACTACACGACTCCCAGCATGAGACAGATGGGCAGGAAGCCGCTGCCGTCGCCGGCCGCGCGCGCCGGGCGGCTTCTGCTGCTGGTGCTTCTGGGCGGGCTGGTGGCCACTTCGGCGTCCGTCTTTCTTGTCTATACATTTTCGTCGCGCGTTTCGAGCTTCGCGGTGGAACATGAAGCGAGTGCGCCGTCGACCACACCGGCCAGCAGCGATGCACCGCCTGCGCCTGCGCCTACGCCTGTCGACGATGGGTTCACTCTCCACCCCGAAGACCATGTCTACCGCGAGGCCAAGACCATCTATCTGGACTGGAACATCACCAAGGAGCAGCGCGCCCCCGACGGCGTCGTCAAGTCCCTCTACCTCATCAACGGTCCGTTTCCGCTCCCATCTGCAGGCACTCCCGAGCCGCGCCCCTTGTGCCCAGACTAACACGAGTTGATCGCAGGCCAATTTCCCGGCCCGCTGATCGAGGCGAGGTCAGGCGACGAGCTCATCGTCAACGTCCACAACTCAGTCCACGATGCCGATGCCGACGCCGGAGAAGGCGTCGCCGTCCATTGGCACGGACTGACCATGAACGGTATGCCAAGCCATGCTTCCTTTTTGCTTCGCAGTTCAGTTGGTTCTGTTGGTGATTCGGGTCACTCATTCGTGCGCGTGATGACTAGGCGCCAACGACATGGACGGAGTGGTCGCCCTCACGCAGTGTGCCATCCCGGCCGCTGCCAACCTCACTTACCGCTTCCGGATCGACGACTCTCAATCAGGAACATATTGGTGAGCTTCCTTCAACCTGTAAGAATATCATAAACGATGGCTTACTCATGCGCTCAGGTACCACGCTCACTCTGGAGTGCAGCGCGCCGACGGGCTCTTCGGCGGGTTGGTGGTGCACAAGCCAGCGAACGCGGAGAATGCCGTCGCCGAGCGGGCGACCTACTCGTACGACGCAGAGCAGCTTCTGCTGGTTGGCGACTGGTATCACCGCTCGGCGGTGGACGTCTTGGAGTGGTTTGAGGCTCCAGACCATTACATGTACGAGGTGAGTTGGCCACGCCATCCCCAGGGACTTCCATGTCGCTGACCGATGCGTCTAGCCGGCTCCGGATTCCATGCTCATCAATGGACGGGGATCGTACAACTGTTCCATGGCAGTCAAGGCATGGCCTGTCAACTGCAGCGCAGTGGCTCGGCCGGAGACCGTATTACGAGACCGGCGCGTAAGATTGAGAGTTGTAAACACTGGGTATGTTCGCTGACACACTGCTTCTCGTCGAACCAAGTTGCTAACCGGCTCGCAGCGTCTCTGCCGGCATCACACTGTCGCTATCAGAAGGGAGCATGCAGGTCATCACCGTTGACGGCGGACATGCCGTTGCAAATGATACGCATGCGGCACAGTCAATTGGCGTCTTGTATCCGGGCGAGCGCATGGACGTTGTCGTGCAGCAGGCGCCCAGTACCACGGCGACGGCTCGTTCGGAGCAGGGCGCCAGGTTGATTGTGACCCTGGATAAGGAGTAAGTCAAGCATATTCGAAGGACGTGGCTCTCAGCTGACAGCTCATCGCTAGGAACATGAATCTGCATAACTTTGCTCTCACTCCAGAGCAAGAGTTTCCGCTTTCATGGGCGTCCTCTCCGACCAAGCAAGCAACGAGACATGAGAAAGGCGTGGCAGTCTCAGAATTGAACCTCAAAGACTTGCAAGGCGCGCCTCTCGCTTCCTCGCCGGCGGGCCTAGCCAAACCCGGTGAGACAGCGGTGCTGTACTCGGCTATGACGATTCGCGGCGCCAACCACAACCGCCCGGTCGCTACCGTGAACCACACGTCGTGGGTCGTCTCAGAACCGCACAAGCCGCCGCTGCTGGCGCTGGATCGGGCCCAATGGGTAGATGCCATCAAACAGCCCACTACCGCACAGAAGCTCAAGGTGCCGTGGATCAAGAAGACGGGTAAGGAGCGGTGGATGGAGCTCGTGCTCAACAACTACGACGACAAGGGCCATCCCTTTCACCTGGTTAGCTCTTCCGTTCCCTCCCCTCCCTCAGGCCCGTGCAAAGTACCTAACAATCGCAGCACGGCTACAACTTCTACGTTGTGCGATCGCAGACCGCCGCCATGGGCCTCAACAGGGGCTACAATCCGTTTGACAAGGAGCAAGCGGATGCGGTGGCCGCGGACGTAGACACCAAGACCCCGCTGCGCAAGGATACAGTTTACGTGCCGTCGATGGGCTTCGTGGTGCTGCGGTTCGCGTTGGACAACGACGGGCTGTGGCTGCTACACTGCCACGTGTTGTGGCACCAGGCGGTGGGCATGGGCATCGTGTTGCAGGTTGGCGACGTTGATGAGGGGGCGAAGCGGAGGGCTGGACAGAGGTGTTTGGCGTAGGACAGGGCTTTGGGCGTACAAGACGGCGTTTGGCGCATATGCATGGGCCTCATAGAGCGGTCATTGGCGCACTGGTTTGCATCTCCTGGCGCGCGGGACAAGCAGTAAATACGAATACCAAATTACCAATACGAGGTAAATACTAGGTACGGCGATTGCTGATAGTCTTCCCCTGTGGGATCTGAAGGAAGTTAACCTTGGCTTCGAGTTGAGAGACGATATGATTCCCCCCGGTTGGAGCTCGTTGGGTCTGGAATCTGGATGGCCATGCTCCGTGCCACTGGAGCACCCTGCGCCGGGTTTCGCTGAATGTTCCCCCGCGTCGGACAGAGCGCTGTTCAATGCCGGCAACACGGCCCACAGCACGGAGACGGGGACAACTTGCGCCCCCGTTGCCGCAATCCACGGCCACAGTGGGGGGCTCGGGGAACCCCAATAATCTCTCCGCTGGCCCTGGGGCTTTCGGCATGCGGCCCGAGGATATTAAGTTCGATAGTAGAGCCATTGAGGGACGGCAATCCAATTGTGATGTCGAAACATCGTCACTGCGTTACATAGCTACTTCAGCTGCCTTCAACGCCGCCTCGTCGCCAAATATACATCGCGGGCTTCAATTGAGACGACGCGCTGCTAGTCCGACACTCACGGGCTGCTGGAGAACATTGAACCCCTCACAGTTCCACGGAATCACGGGTGAGACGGTTGACCCGTGATTGAAGCCCGTCTTCCCCTCGCGGCACAACGCAACCATGTCACATCAAATCCGGCCGTTCAAAATCGCGGTGCCCGATGAGGCCATCGACGCCGTCCGGTCCAAGCTCGCGGAGGCGTCCTTCCCGGATGAGGTCGACTTCTCCGACGACTGGGAGTACGGCGCCTCGCTGCGCGATGTGAAGCGGCTGGCCAAGCACTGGGCCGAGGGCTTCGACTGGCGCGCGCAAGAGGCCAAGCTCAACTCGCTGCCGCACTTCAAAACCAGCATCTTTGTCGACGGGTTCGGCGCGCTCGACATTCACTTTGTGCACCAGACGAGCAGCAAGCCGGGGAGCATCCCGCTGTTGTTCTGCCACGGCTGTACGTCACTGCCATTTGCCCTTTTCGCATGTGGCACCTGCGGATGGCGCGGTGCTACGGCGACACGGGTCAGGATATGGACTGACAGACAAACACAGGGCCCGGCAGCTTCATCGAGGTAACCAAGGTCCTGCGACTACTCACCGAGCCCGAGGACGGGCCGTCGTTTCACGTAGTGGCGCCCTCGCTGCCTAACTTTGGCTTCTCCGAGGCACCGTCCAAACGCGGCTTCGGGATCGCGCAGTACGCCGAATGCGCACACCGACTGATGCTACGGCTGGGCTACGACAAGTACGGTAAGTAACCACCTTCGTCCCGAACGTTTCACGCGCTCTTGCTCACACCAGCTTGCACAGTCACGCAAGGCGGCGACTGGGGCTACTTCATCACGCGCATGATGGGCGTGCTCTACCCAGACCACTGCCTGGCGTCGCACATCAACTTCCTCTGCGTCAAGCCGACCGTCCCGCGGGGCCTGTGGCTCGCCGTCCAGCACGCCGTGCTGCGATGGTGGTCGCCCGCGCAAAAGGCAGGCATCGAGCGCACGAGGTGGTACGTCCGCGAAGGGTCGGGCTACATGGTGCTGCAGAGCACCAAGCCGTCGACGCTGGGGCTCGCGCTCGCTGACTCGCCCGTCGCGCTGCTAGGCTGGCTGTGGGAGAAGCTGCACGACTGGACGGACGCGTACCCCTGGACTGACGACGAGATCCTCACCTGGGTGTCGCTATATCAGTTCTCCACAGCTGGGCCTGCCGCTAGTGTGCGCATCTACTACGAGGCGACGCACTCGGCGCGCGAGTCGACGCGTAGGTGCATCGAGTATGTCCCGCATGTGCCGTTGGGTATCTCGTACTTTCCGCGGGACCTCTTTGCGCTGCCCAAGACGTGGGGGTGGTCGTCGGGGCCGGTTGTCTTTGAGGCTGTGCATGAGCGCGGGGGGCATTTTGCAGCGTACGAGTGCCCGGACCAGTTCACCCAGGACTTGAGGACCATGTTTGGATCCGGGGGAGGTGCGAATGCGGTGGCGAGGAAGTTTGAGACTGTCGAGGAGGACAGTGAGTGGGATGAGGTGGTGTCCTCGAGCGTTCATCGATAAAGGCACCTGGAAAAAGAAGGAAACAGCATTGTGTACAAGTATCCGATTATATGGGACGGCAGAAAGTAGTAAGGGATGCGGCTCTCGTGCATAGCGCTCTGGCTCCAACTAAGGGGTCAGTCTACATGACGGCTCTACACATTTGATGCATGCGAGTTACTTGATATGAACCATGCTCTATCGGTGTGCTCGGCACAGGCGCCCATCTTTTTTCACCGTCCACTCTTCGCTGCCGACGCCCGCCGTCGCATAAAACAGGCCATTCGGGTCATACTTTTTCTTGATCCGTAGCAACCTATCATAGTTGGCACCAAAGAAGGTCTCTTGGAAATCCGGCTGCTGGAAGTCGGCTTCGTTCATGTACGCTCCCGCCCCGGGCGTCGCCGCCTCAATGACCGGCTGCACCTCGCGCGTCATGCGGTTCTGCTCCGCGACCATTTCCTCGAAGGGAGCGTCGAAACTCCAGGGCATGGTCAGCGACGCGTGGACCAGCGTCTGGCGCCATTGGGGAAGAACCGCGGCGGCTTTCTCACGGCCGAAGCGCGAGACGTCCAGCCCGACACCGATGAACATGACGCCCATGGAGACGAGTTCCCGAGCGGTGGGCGAAAAGTGTGTTAGGGCATGTCGTGGGATGAGACGCCCGCCGAAAAGCTGCGTGCCGACTTGGATGTTTCCGGCGGGCAAGGGGCCCCAGTAGTGAGCGTAATGGTCGTAGTAGCTCTCAAACTCCGTGTAGTTGGGCTTGACGACCAAGCCTTTCGCGGAGGCCGCGTCGATGAATGGCTTGAGAACCTTTTCAGTCTCCTCGGTACTCTTGCCGAAGAGGGTCAGAGCGGGCATCTGCAAAAAGCCGGCGCCGAAGTAGTAGATGACCATGGCTCCTGCGTCGACCATGCCAGGGAGCGCCTCGTGGAACAAGTCGATGGCGTCGTAGAGGCTCGTTGAGTTTTCGGGTGCCGTGATGGCGAAGCTGGCGCCGCTGACCTTCGCATCGGGGTGCGCTCGAACTGTCATGGACACCACGACGCCGTAGTTGCCGCCTCCTCCGCCGCTCAGCGCCCAGTAGAGGTCAGAGTTCTCAGCCCTCGAAGCTCTGACGTGCTTGCCCGATGCAGTTACCACCTCGTAAGACAGGACATTATCTGCAGCAAGGCCATGAACGGTGCTAAGCGCAGAATGTCCGCCTCCTTGCGTATACCCTCCAGCCAGCCCAACAGTCGGACACTCGCCCGTCACGACCACTCGCCCATGCTTCCGTGCCTCAGCGAGCGCCTCGAAACCCTGGACGCCAGCACCGACACGAAGCGCCTTGCCGATGTAGTGTCTATCTGCCCAGTCGATGACAGCGCTGTCCTTCATGTGATGCGTCCAAACGGCCAGCGCCCCAGCACCCGTCGAGCGGCCGTTGTAGTCATGGCCCGTGTTGCGCACGGCGAGGCGGATGCGGTGTCGGGAAGCAAAGGTCAGCGTCGCGGCGACGTCCTGCGGCGAGCGCGCGTCTACGGCGTAGCGCACGTAATTGCCCAGCGTGCAGGGCGAGGATCGCGGCTGGAAGGGGTCGCAGCTCTTGTTGGCGAACAGCGGTGCCATGACGGACGACGAGGACTCCATACTGATGCCGTGTTAGTCTGACGATCAAGATACCTGCAGGTGCTCAAAATGAGTGTAGGAAGTATCTCACTGAACCGCCGAGTAAAGCCACTCCTTCTGGAGAGTGGCGCACTCGGTCTCATTGTAATGAGGGTCGTGGCATGGCGAGCCGAGCGGCGTCGTCGCGATGAGTCTGCCGCCGACGGTGCTGTTGAGCCGGTCCCAGTCCGAGTGCCCGGGCCAGCATGCATCGCCGGGGAAGCATTTGCATCCACCGTCCTCTGCCAACAACTCCGGCGGCCGGCGCACCGCGAGGGCTACTGCCGCAAAGAGCAGCACGCGGACGACGCGACCATGCATGGCTTCGAGTGCCTAGCGAGTGAAAGAGGAGAGGTGACTGAAGTTCGAAATCCGTCCTTTCAACGGTGAAGCCCGAAAAAAACGGTGGGTATTGGTGCGGGCAACCCCTTTATGGGCAATGACAATAACATGCCTAGGTAGTATGCATGTCTGGTGGCATGGCATGTTGGGTGGATAGGGCCAGTCGAAGCGCTACCGCAGTTTGGTGCTGACGGGATCGTCGCCCAAATCCTGGATATCTGCGGGTAGCGGCCCGTCGGTCGATGAGGCGATGCCTTTACAAGGTTGCTACCGTTCTCCCTAGGAAATGAGACCTTGTCTCGCGGTAAGGATCAATTGATCTCAGGCTGAAGGCAACCGAGGGAAACCACAAGGACGGGGACATGTACAGAGCCTTGAGCGTTTGTCCTTTACCATGACGACTCAATTGAGCACATGGATGAAGCAAATAGCCATGTGATTGAGCCTTTGCCCCTACGGGTAGGTGGATGCTCTTCGAGCGCGCTCGGTCCTCTTCAACCCCATGTCTGGTCACAAGCGCGTGTCCCGGCGTGACATGGGGGAGCATTGCCGGGTAAAATCTTGGGAAGCTACTAGGTACTTCGTGCGCCCACCGCAAGGAACGATAGGGACGATAGTTGCAGTGCGGCAGGGCCCGGAGACCCCATGGACTGGACCGCGAAGCTCGGCCGAGTCCCTGCAGGGCTTCAACAGCTGGCCGCCAACTGGCAGCAGACAAGTTGACATGGCAACTCGACTGTGATGGTCGCCTGGGCTTCAGAGCGCTATTCATGTTCGTGGTTCGCTTGAGCCCAGATCGTTAATTGGAAATACTACTGAGATCTCAAGGTTATAGGGTAAGTGTTTGAGTGGCAACTTACTTGATCCATAGGTGCAGTGTGCTTACTTCTCGCCGCCGAGGAAATGGTATTTTGTCTCTTTGACTATTCCGTGGATCTATATGCATTGTATGCGGCTTTAGCCCGGAGCTCCAGAGTGGGCGGCGCATGGCGACAGCTCCCCCGACGTGGTGATGTTGCTCCAGATTGTACCCCGGATCACCATGTAAGTAACCACGCCTCGCGCCGCAACCCACGCCCAATGCCGGCCCCAGCTGGCGCCGGTATCCTCGAACGGAAACCCGACCGTTGGCGCCGTCTGCCAAGCGTTTATCTGCCGGTCGGCGGCCGGGTCTTGGTCTTGGCCGGAGCGATAACGGAGACAGGAGCCCTCACCGACTCGAAGGAAGACGCGGATTTGAGTCCGGTGGGGGCCGCGCGAGGCAAACGAACAATGCACAGATGCCGAGGGCGAGCCCCGAAAAGGGTCGCGCGACGGTGACTGGACCGAGGCGATACATTTAGCAATTAACATCCGAATTTTAACTACCGGGAAATAGGGAATTTATTAGGATAAGTGCTAGTTGGACATCACCCGTTTTCTATTTAGATACCAGAACGGGTGCCAAGTCCACCGAAAGAGGACAATGCGGCATGCCTCGATGGGGCTCCAACTGGCCCGCCGCGATGGCATCAATTGCTGCAGCAGCCGGCAGACCGCCACAGTCGGACCGAATGGGGCATGGAGGCCTGCGCCGCATTGACGTACACATTGGACAAGCAATTGAAGTATCGGCATCAGGAAAGAGGCAATTCATAAAAGACGCGAGTTAAACGTCATGGGATATTACATATGGCATTAAACAATGTTCATCCAATCGCTTCCCGGGACGTGCCTAGCTTGCCGTCAGGTCGTGCATACTCATAGACTGCATGTGGACCTGTAACCAATGTACCGCTCGAGGATTCAGTAGTCACGACATTGACGTATCTGACTAATTCTGTTGATACAGGGTGGCGAGGCCGCTACCATGGATCGGCAGGTGAGGTTGTCTAAATTGACTGTTATGCGTCAAGCTACAAGCAAAGCGAGTGCTTGCTGGCAAGAACAAAACACGTCGCCGGCATTATTCTCTCTTGAAATTGAATCCGGATAAAATGGCCACTTGCGAGGATCAATCTGGGACCCTCCGATCAATAGGCTATATAACTCGAGATATCGCCTTAAAATGCTCCTACCTGGCATCTTTGTCTTACTGAACCAACGTCCCCAAAAATACGAGTTACGTTACAATATGTTACTCACCAAGCTTCTCGGTTTTCAAGCTGTTGGCGCTGCCGTGGTGAGCTCGTCGGCTTATACGGGCTACACCACGGGAAGCTCAAATCGTCTGGCACACCTCCCGGTCCCAGCTGAGACGTATCCGCCGTTGCTCGATGCAACACTGGAGGACCTTCGAAAGGGTCTCGATACTGGTGCGTTTTCGAGCCTCAATCTTGTCGACGCATACATCAAGCGCATCGAGGAGGTGAACCCTCGTCTCCGGGCCGTCACGGAGATCAACCCGGACGCGCGCACAATCGCAAAGAAGCTAGATGAAGAAAGGAAGAAAGGGGGTTCAAACCTCGGTCCTCTCCATGGCATCCCGATCCTTGTCAAGAACACCATTGCTACCGCCGATAAGATGAACAACACGGCTGGGTCCTTTGCACTACTTGGAGCAAAGGTGCCCGAGGATAGCAAAGTGATTGAACGGCTGCGTAAGGCTGGTGCAATAATCCTAGGCAAATCAAACCTATCTCAGTGGGCAAATGTCCGGGGTAATATACCGAATGGTTGGTCGTCACACGGTGGGCAGATCATCGGGCCATATCATCCAGGTCAGGACCCATTAGGGTCATCGTCGGGCAGTACCGTTGCATCCGCTCTCGGTCTTGCTTGGGCTGCTTTAGGCGTCGAAACATCTGGCTCCATTATCACGCCTGCACAAGTGGCCAACGTGGTGGGCATCAAACCTACCGTAGGTCTGACTTCCCGGTACTTGGTAATTCCTTCCTCGGAGCGTTTCGATACTGTGGGCCCTATCGCGCGTACTGTTAAGGATGCCGCATATCTTCTGTCAGCAATTGCAGGAAAGGACACGAAGGATCCTTATACAGCCGCGATTCCTTTCGACAACGTCCCAGACTATTCGACAGCCTGCAACGTATCTGGTCTCAAAGGGCGCCGCATTGGGGTTCCGCGGCATCTTTTCAAGAAGTCGGGCCCATCGATATCTGCATTCGAGTCAGCACTGAAAACCATCCGTGATGCTGGAGCCGAGGTTGTCGATGTTACGATTCCTGGAATACCAGAACTAAATGCACGGGCACCGAATGTCTTTAGTCGCGTTCTCGGCGCCGATTTCAAGACCAATCTCGCCGAATACCTTTCGCACCTGTCTTCAAACCCACATGGCATAAAATCGCTAGAAGCGCTTCGCTTTTTCACCATTATCAACCCCAAGGAGGAGTACCCCCAACGGGACATGGCTTCGTGGGATTGGATTGTGCGGCACGGGCTCGATGGTAAGTCCGAAGCCGCGCAACAAGACCGATACACGATGATGGAAGTGGCTTGTGGACGAGAACCCAGTGTCTCTTTGTGCCTTACCGGTGTTCTGAAGGAGGAAAAGCTCGATGCGATTGTCTTTCCCAGTTCTGAGCCGGCGGCAATCTTCAGCGCCACGCTGGTCGGGTCTCCTGTCATTACGGTGCCGCTCGGGCGCACGCCGGAGTCGACACCAAGCAAGCTAAACTCGTACGGCAACTTGAATGAGACGGGGCAAAACACACCGTTTGGCATTGCGTTTTCCGGAGCCAAATGGAGTGAAGAGACACTCATTGGTATGGCATTTGCTTTCGAGCAGAAAACGCAGGTCCGGAAGAGTATCAAACCACATGTGTGCAACCTCAGACTGAGCTTGCAAATATCCTTCAAACTGGCTCTTGAGATGCTGCCTATAAAACCTAAAACGCGAGAATCTCGGAGGGGGCCTGCTCGTAGTACGAGCTCTAGCAGTAGAGGAGGTATAAAATAGGAGTATTACCCAACGACACTGCTGTGTGTTTTCGCGCCCTCTTTCTCGTGATGAAGGCAATCAATCCTCTTGCCTGTTTCGGCATGCCTGGCACTCACCCGGCTCACTCAACGTCGCGCGCTCGGCCGGGTCTTGGCCGGAGCGATAACGGAGACGGGAGTCCCACTTGGCGACGCCCTACCCGCGCCCTTTTGACGATGGACTTTGTTCTCGACGCTTCTGCCGAGCCCACGGCGGGACCATCGCCGGGCAAAGATAAAGGTACCGTCGGGCGGCCAGTCGTGGGGTCCCGGGTTGACTGGGGGACTTCACACGAGGAGGCGTCCCGTTCGCGTTTGTGAAAACGGTTGCGTATTCCCTCGTCGACCACTCCGTCGGGCAACACCAGAGCATTTCAGTACACTCACACCCGCAATGCCTGCAATGATCGACGATCCGGCATCCGCGCCGATCCAGCGCTGGCCAACTACACCTGCAGAGTCAACCCTCCCGCCCGGCATCTCGCCCCGGCCCATCACTCTCCGCGACGGCTCACCCGGCACCATCCTCCCCTTCACATCCCACGCCTCCGTCCCGCCCTCACTGCTCCGCTTCCTCTCCGATCTCTTCAACGCCGAGATCGAAGCCGGCGACACCTACCCCATGGTCGAGCCCCTCCCAGTCGAAAAGTTCGCCGCCTACTGGTTCCAGAACTTTGCCGCCGTCATGCTCCTCGGCGGCGTGGAGGATGCTCGCGCGCTGCTCCTGCGGCGCGAGGACGGCAGTATCAGCAGCAGTAGTGGTGGTGGCGACGACTGGGCGTCCGTCTGCCTGGGCAGCTACTACATCAAGCCCAACTACCCGGGCCGCAGTAGCCATGTCTGCAACGCGGGCTTCCTTGTGGCGCCGGCGGCGAGGGGGCGCGGGGCCGGGCGGTTGCTGGGCGAGAGCTACGTCGACTGGGCGCCGCGGCTGGGGTACGAGTACTCTGTCTTTAACCTCGTGTACGAGACTAATGTGGCGTCGTGCCGCATCTGGGACGCGCTGGGGTTTGAGCGCATTGGCCGCATCAAGGGCTGTGGTAAGCTGAAGAGCCACCCAGGGAAGAAGATCGATGCCATTGTGTATGGAAGAGAACTCAGCTGCGAGGCGAACGGCGTGAACGGCTTGAACGGGACAGACGGGACGAACGGGACTAAGACATGAAGCGAGCGATGCTGGTTGTTCGACACAGCGTGGGACTAATTACGATGGATCGAGCACTGAAGAGATACAGATGTGAAGGGTGAGATGAGCAGCGTTGGCTTCGTTGCAGCCCCCTGCGCTCGCAATTATGCATTAGCATGGAGTACATAGAGGTTCTATTTAATCATGTTCAGAAGCGAGACGACGTAACCTCGAGCACATCTACGCGACATCGCGCTCGCTCATCGACTCCCGCGCATAGCGTTCCATCTCCTCGAGCCGCTGGGTCAGCGCGCCGTCATACGGCGGCGCCTCCATGACGGCCATGACGAAGGGGCCCTGCGCTCCCCACGTGCAGCCGTGGAGGTGGTTGCGAATCCGAGCGAGCAGCTCAGCGACCGCCTCGTCCGCGTACAGTCCAGCGGCAGCCATCTCGTGTAGCACGTCCAGCGCGGCGGTCGCGTCGCCAAAGCGGTCCCAGTGCACGCGGGCGAGGCGCGCGTAGAAGGGCGCCGACACGCCGAGCACGTATGAAGGCAGGCCCAGCGCCTTGACGCGGGGCAGGATCTCAAAGGCGCGCGGCGAGGGGCGCGCAAAGGCCGTGTCGAGAAGGGCGAGGCCCCGGCTGAGGAAGTGCGGGTACAGCGGCCCGTGGACGTCCATGATGCGCTTCTGAGCGTCTTGCTGCTGCGCTGTGAGGGTGGACGCATCGTCGAGCTGAGTGCCCTTGGGCGTTTTCCGCCTTGATGTGCCGGCGCTGCTTCTCTTGTTCTTGCCCTTGACGGAGGCGCCCTGAACGATGCCCAGCTTCTCGGGCAGCGAAAAGACCTCGCGCTCCATGACGTGCCAGAGCTCGGCGTCGGTCTCGCAGTCGCGCATCAAGGCGTCTACCCGCTCTCGCTCCTCGACTCGGATTCGATCGTAGCGCGCGCGCTCTTCCCACTTGGCCTCGTCGGCCTCGTCCAACTCCAGCATGCGACTTGATTCAGAGGCGCCGCCGGGTTCTAGCTCGTAGAGGCCGAGTGCGACCTGGGCGGCGTTGCGCAAGGATTGTGGGTAGCGGCGCAGAAACTTGTCGCGAAACTCGGTGACGCGTGCCTGTTCGACAATGGACCTCGCCATGCCGTTCGAGTAATCGGCACCGGGACCATGCGTTGGCCATGTTTGCCCTGGCGAGGCTCCGGGGGACGGCCGTTTCTTCGAGGCGGGCATGCGGCCCTGTGCGATCTCGTCAAAGATGCCCTTGAAAACCTCGGCTTCGGATGGTGTTATTGTCGATGATTGTCCCGGGACATCTCCCAGCTCTTCCTGGAGTTCGTTGTCCCATTCGAACGGGATCGAATTGTCATTCTTTGGTATCCGCCCGCGTCTCACCGAGTGCGCATGTCGGATGGCGCCGAGCAATGGCTGTGCAACAATCGCGCGACGCAGAGTCCGCGTCTGATACAGAAACGGTAGCAGCGTCGACGACATGATTCTGCGCGCGGCGTGCGGCTGAGCCAGTCGGTTTCGAGGCGTGGAAATTGACGGCAGAATGCGAACGACGAAGCAATCCAAACTTGGCAATTTACAGCACCCAAGTCCCCTGTAGGGCGGCTAATGCTCGGCAACCATTTACGCGAAACCGGCCCCCGGCGCGTGACCTCGCGCCTCTAGCAGGCGCGTCAGCTCCGGGTGGCGTTAATTGATCTTGAAGGGCGCGTCTCCTCCTGTTCAGCAGCTGTCCGGCAGCCTCTCGCTCTTGCCGCCACCTGGCACCTTGCTTCACGTTCCTCGCAAGCCCTTTATTTGGCTTTCGACCGCCGCATCTCTGTTTGCTCGAACCATTGTTCCATCATTGTGCTTTTTCTGCGATCGCCATCGCCATCCACCACCACACAATGCCCGTCAAGAAGGAGGAGGGCATGAGTGCCTTCGAGCGCAAGCGCCTGGAGAACATTGCGGCCAACCGCGCAATTCTCACTGACATATCAACGACTGCAAAGAAGATAATCCCCGACAAGAAGCCGCCCAAGCCGGCGCCGCGAAAGAAACGACACAGTGAACCCGTCAAGCGCGAGCCCACGCGACCTACGCGCACGAGCTCGCGCCTCGCCGGCAAGGATGCCGACTCCGAAACCCTCAAGCGCAAGTTTGAGGTCGAGGCCGAGCATGAAGCACAGAACGCGAAGGCGAAGAAGATGCGCGTGAGCGGCGACCTGAACCTCGGAGACATTGTGGTAGAGGGTAAGAGATGGGGCAGCGGTATTGACGGACTCAAGGGCATCGTGCGCGGCGCCGAGCCTGGCGTGCGAACGTTCACAGAGGAGGACGTCAAAGAGACGACGGATCAGAACCTGAAGGACTTGCGGCTACGCATGAGCGGCTTGAAGCTATACGAGCATTGGGTTCCCAATGGTATGTGTCCCAACGCCGGACCTTATGCCGGCTCCTCTAACGGCCACAAGACATCAAGATCACGCCGCAGCGAGTGTACGCCCTCGGCTTCCACCCGACCGAGGACAAACCGATTGTCTTTGCGGGCGACAAAGAGGGCAATATGGGTGTCTTTGACGGCTCCCAGACGACGCCCGAGGTAGACGACGACGACGAGGACGCCGACATGCCCGACCCTGTCATTTCGGCCTTCAAGACACACGCGCGGACAATCACGTCCTTCGTGTTCTCTCCTACCGACGCCAATGCCGTTTATACCTCGTCCTATGACTCTTCAATACGCAAAATGGACCTCGAAAAGGGCTTGTCGTTACAGATATTTGCCCCGGCCGATGAGAACGAAGACCTGCCCATCTCGGCCCTGGATATGGCGGTGACTGAGCCAAATGTACTCTACTTCTCTACGCTCGAAGGCGGCGTCGGTCGATACGATATCAGGGCGCCAGACAGCCATGAGATATGGCAGCTGTCTGAACAGAAAATTGGCGGCTTCTCGCTGCATCCGCTGCAGCCTCACCTCCTCGCGACAGCATCTCTCGACCGTACCATGAAGGTATGGGACCTGAGGAAGATTCAAGGGAAAGGCGACATGCGACACCCCGCCCTGCTGGGCGAGCACGAGTCGCGCCTCTCCGTGTCGCACGCGTCGTGGAGCGCGGGCGGCCATGTCGCAACATCCTCCTACGACGATACCGTCAAGGTATACGACTTTTCCTCCGCATCCGGCTGGAAACCAGGACAGGACATCTCACCAAAGGCCATGGAGCCAGCTCATATCATCAGGCACAACAACCAGACCGGGCGCTGGGTTACGATCCTTAAACCGCAATGGCAGAAGCGCCCTCACGACGGCATCCAGAAATTCGTCATCGCCAACATGAACCGTTTTGTCGACGTGTTTGCATCCGACGGCAGCCAGCTGGCGCAGCTGGATGGCGATAACATCACAGCCGTGCCGGCTGTCGCGCACTTCCACCCAACGTTGGACTGGGTCGCCGGTGGCAACGGAAGTGGGAAGCTGTGTCTGTGGACATGATGAGGGAAGGGAGGGATCGAGGTGCTTTACGCTTAACGACTAGCTTGGCATTACTGTAATAGATGCTTGCACATAGTGCGTGAATTTGAGCTTTGTCACTCGGCCGGCGCTATATAAGGCGGCTTTGCCCTAGTTTGCGATTCTTCCGCGAGACCTGCTGTTTACTGTCTACACAAATGCTGGTAACGCCAACGCCACACTTTGACGGACACGAAACAAGGCGAGAATTCCCCAGACTATGCCCGAGCTGAAGCTTTGAACCCCACCATTTGGCCGCCGATCCGGAGCCATCGCCAACGTTCGGTGCCGTCGGCTCGGACGCATCGGCTACGGACCTTGACTTGCAGTCTAGTCTGGCGATAGCTCAGGCTAGGCAGGTTGGCGATGCCGTCAATCCCCGCCGTTAGATTGCCCTCGCAGCATTGCGAGCCCGTCGCAACGACGATGGCGAAATTGGGACCCTGCTCTTGTGACAGCTTGACGTGCTCTAACCCAAGCCTCACACGAGTCGATGGCGCATCATTATGCTGGCTAGGCCCGCAGAGAAACGCGGGGAAGGCAGCAGGCAGTTTAATATAAATGTCTTGTCATGTGGTCGAGCGATCGAACATTCAGGGTGCTCTCGAACAGGACAGCAGACTGCACGTATTCCAGCCTCAACTGTACGAAAATGATGTGGTCACAATTATCCCTCGCGGCCGGCGCGTTTAGCCTTCTGTTCGCATCAGTGGACGGCAAATGCAAGAGCGTCGATGTCTCTGCTCCAGCCTCTGCTCCCCACGATGCGTCCAAGCCCGTCGACCACGCCTTTGCCTCCTTCTCATTGCCCGCGCACTTCTTCGCCGACTTCACGGGCAACAAGAGCCACCCCAACCTATTCTCCCGAGACATCTTCGATCTCTTGCACAAAAAGACGGGCGCGCACCCGTATGTGCGTGTAGGAGGAACCTCAACGTGAGCTACACCCGCCCAGTCGCCACCAGACCGCTACCCTCTCGCTGACTTACAC